TTGCACTATGTAGGGATACAAAGGAAATCGATAAATTGCACCAATTCGATAATTCGAGTCAAACCGAGATAAAAAAAATCCGACTATGGTTTAGTTTGATTTGATTTAGTATTGAAAAAAAAACCCGACCATAATTGGTTTGGTTTGGTTTTAATTAAAGAAGGTCAAATCGAAACCAAACCAACCCGATATTATATATATAGAAATTTTAGATATATTTAATATATAAATATACTTATTGCGATGTACATTATAAATATTTTTTAAAAACAATCATAATTTTATCTTTTAAGGTATTATTTCAAGGTTGGACTTAGAATTTTTGAATGTTCCAATAAGTTTTATAGCCATTAACATTAGTAAATTAAATAATGCTAACAAAAGTCCAAACCAAAATCAACTCAATATTAATCCTAACAAAAGACATTCAATTCAATATTACGAACATAAATGTATTGAATATCTATTTTTTGTTTTGCAATAATTTAGATAAAAATGCATAACCTATTTTTATTTTTTCTTTAGCGTTTAGTCATGTAATTAATACTCTCTTATTAGTCTAATTATTTTAGCATGACTTAGTACTTTTAGATTATGTTTATTTTTGTTATGGCTTTTTAATTAGCTATATTTATATTACATAATTTTATTATCTTTATTGTTGAATATTTTAGGGTAATGTCATGACACATTTCATATTTTGTATTATTTTCTTGTAAAATACTTTATATAGTTGTATCTTACTAGGATTAAAGAAATATTTTGAGTACAATTTATATGTTTTGTTATATGAAGATTTTATCGGAAAAAAACCCGAATAACCCGAAAATCCGAAAAAAACCCGAGAAAAATCGAGAGCGAAAAATCCGAGTTTTATTGGTTTGGTTTGGTCTTTAAATTTAATAACCCGACACAATTGATTTGATTTGGTAATTGTAAAATTCGAACTAGTCCGACCTATGTACACCCCTAACAGTCTGCCATGGAGTCAGTTACAGGAGCTTCACCAGAATGATCTAGACTGGGAGAAAATTTAAGTTATTCGATGATGCCTTGCATCTTACTGTGTACATGTTTCTGTTGTAAAGATCTTATTGAGACATACTCTTGCAAATATGTAGATACTATGTCCATTTGTTGTGAAATGGACCGTGAACATTAACTCCATGCTGAGGTAGTCTATTACATGTAAACTTCCTCAAGGTTTATTGAATTAACATGGCGTAAAACTATTTCCTTCATGTAGTATCCAAATGAAGTCCTCTTTGTGTGTAATTTTTTTTATATGTTTGGCTGTTTTCAAGGCTCCTGGAGAATTAAGGTGCAACATATTTAGGATAATTATGTCATAACGAGTGAAACTTCATACACGGGGACTAATCTCTTGTTTATGTTATTTGAAATATGTGATTATAAATTTCTAAATGAGTTTGTCAGCATTGTATTGATCTTATCTTAATATTGGCATTCTCCTGCTTCACAAGGAATTACCATAAGGTAGGTCGGCTATTATTTGTTGATATCATCTGTATCCATTTTTATTTATTACAGGACTCCTTTGAGTTGATATTCCTCTCATTGTAAACAATTCAAACGGTGGTATCGATTTTCTCTTGCATATCATTTATCATACTTATTGAGTTAGATGACAATAATGCACTTTTATTGCGCTTGCGGCTCAACTGGTTGAAAGGAGAGGTGAGCTAAGAAGAAAGTCCTAAATAAACAGAGAGCTTGGAAATGTGGATGAAGAGAGGAGATTGCTGGATGACGCATTGAGGCGCTTCCCCTCATTTTTCAAGCTTTGGTTGATGTTGGGACAGTTAGAAGAGAGACTTGGTAATTCTGACAAGACAAAGGATGCCTATGAGTCTGGCATTAAGAATTGTCCCAATTGTATACCCCCTTGGCTGTCCCTTGCGTCACTAGAGGAGAAGATGAATGGGCTGAGCAAAGCTCGAGCAGTTCTTACTATGGCCAGGAAGAAGAATCCTCAGAGCCCTGAGCCATGGCTTGCAGCTGTGCAGGCTGAAGCTAGGCATGGGTACAAAAGGGAAGCTGATGTTCTGATGGCTAAAGCATTGCAGGAGTGCCCCAATAGTGGCATTCTATGGGCTGCTTCAATTGAGATGGCACCTCGTCCTCAAAGAAAAACCAAAAGTTCTGATGCTTTAAAGAAGTGTGATCATGATCCGCATGTTATTGTTGCAGTGGCTAAGCTGTTTTGGCAGGAGAGGAAAGTAGAGAAAGCAAGAAATTGGTTCAACAGGGCAGTGACCCTTGCACCAGATATTGGTGATTTCTGGGCATTGTACTTTAAATTTGAACAGCAGCATGGAACGGAGGAGCAGAGGAATGATGTGTTGAAGAGGTGTGTTGCCGCAGAGCCAAAGCATGGGGAAAAATGGCAAGCTACAGAGAAGGCCGTAGAGAACTCTCATGAACCAACAGAAAGCATATTGAAGAAGGTGGTAGCCTCATTAAAGAAGGAGGAGAATTTGGCTGAAAATAACCACAACTAATCCTTTATAGGTTAGAGACAGTAGTTATATTATATTTACATGTGTAACTTATCTCTTAACAAAACAGAAGTTAGTACAACCATTTGATGGGTTAATTACGTCATGTAGTGTTGGTGATATGTTATTTATAATTATCAGAGACTGAGACAAAGAAGACATTTGCTTTTTGAGATAATACCATACCGTAGAACTTGCTAAGTTGACTGCGTTCTGTTTTTCTTTTTCTTTCTATGGACATTATTGAATTTTTTTTCACACTTCGCATTGTGTTACTTTCAGCGCCTGTAATGACCCATCGATGCCCATTTAATTACCATGTGTAATTTTAGTTCTGACAATTACTTTTTTCATATTCTTTTGATATTCCTTCTTAAATTTTCAAGTGGTAATGTCAAGCTTGCAGGAAATTGTTGGTCTGTGCTAACAACAAGTACTTTTGAAGAACCGTCTCCCGTCTTTTTTTCTTAAAAATAGAAGATATACATTCTAAAAAAGTATTATTCGCCATTTTAAGGAAATTAAGATTTTCTTGTTATATTTTGATAAAAAATATATAACTATTTTTACATACATATACACTATTGGAAACTTTATTACCGTCCCTACTCAAGTTTCACTTTAATTACCTCCTATATACAAAATTACCAAGTATGTACATTTTTAGGATTTAAGGATAATTAATCAATTCCTACAATCACTCTCACTCCCCCCACGTTTCTCTCTCTGAGTCCCACCCCCCCCCCCACCCCCTTCCACGTTTCTTTATCCACATCCCACCCCTTCCCCCACACATCTTGCACAAGAGAGCAACAATTCCACCATTGATAGCCATTAAAAAGCTTTGAAGTTTTGAATTCGAATTTGGGTTTTCAAAAAATATTATTTGATTGAATTGGGTGTTGTTGCAAACAATTGGGAATTCTCTCTACGTCTATCTCTATCTCTCAATCCCTAATTCCAGCAATGTAAAGCAAAGGAATAGAGAGAAGCATTTCTACCATTGACAGCCAATAAAAGCTTTGAAACTTTGAATTTGAATTGAGTTTTCAAAAATCATTATTTGTTTGGATTGAGTGTTGTTGCAAACAATTGGGAATATGGTTTGAAATTTATATCTCAATTTTGATGGTGTTCTGGTGAAGATTAGACCTGATTTTGGCTTAATTTCAGACTGAAACTCGAAGAAGAAGAAGAAGAAGACATGACATACATTATACTGCAGAAATTGTAGTAAAGTTGTAGTAAAATTGTAGAAAAATTGTATTTTGTTANNNNCCCCGGCATGAACCCGAACTGGTTGTCTGAAATAGACACCGTCCTTCGCACTCTCATTTCTACCACTCTCTCCCAAACTTTCATGGTATGACTTAGTAATTTGATGCCCCTATAGTTGTTACAGCTCTGGACATCACCTTTGTTCTTATACAACGGGACCATTGTACTCCACCTCCACTCTTCAGGCATCCTATTAATCTTGAATATAACACTAAACAATACAGTAAGCCATTCCAAGCCTGCTCTACCCACACACCTCCACAGTTCAACCGGAATTTCGTCTGGCCCGGTAGCTCTGCCCCACTTTTCAGCCATCTATTTGAAAAATAGGCACTATCAAATTCACCGTTATACTTTTTTTATTGGTATACATTGATTATATATAGTTGTACATGTATTATATATAAATTATACACGTGCCATCTATTTTTAGTTTAAGAAATTATATGAACGACTATTTAGGTTAATTCTTCAAATTTTTGGAACTTCATAACAATAGCTATTTTTTGTAAAAATAGCACGGTATAGCCAGTTTTCGAACTGGTCATTCAATAATAGCCAGCATTTACCAAGTCAATGAAAAATAGCCACTATTTTGCTGCAACAGAGACCGGTCCAGCATAATATACTGGAGTTCGATGCACCTATGTATGAACTCCAGCATATTATGCTGGACCGGTATACTTTGCTGGCTCCAGTATAATATACTGGAGGCTGGAGCACCGGTGCTCTAAACTCCAGTATATTATGCTGGCCCGATATACTTGCTGGAACTCCAGTATATTATGCTGGAATTCTAGTGTACTTGTGCTGGAACGCCATCATATTATGCTGGAGTTTCAGCATACTTATCCTGGAACTTGCAGTATAATATGTTGGAGTTTAAGTTTACTTATAATGGAACCCCAGCATAATATACTGGCGTATTTTATGGGTTTTGAAGTGGTTAAATTTCGATTACTTTTGAAACTGGGCTATTTTTGAACGACCAGTTGTAAATCTGGCTATTTTTGAATTTCCCCCCTATTTTTTCAATTACATGGCTGTGTTGGGTCGGGTCGTAAAAATTGCACGGGGCGCCCTATTTGGACGCCCCTTTTTAACCTGTAGCCGCTTTGTCTTTCTGTTTGCACCCGTACCCGTTTTTTTGTTAAAAGCCATTTGAAAAGACTATTTTGCCTTTCTTTATTAAAAGACTACTTTCTCTCCAAATATACGCTAGTCCTCTACTGTCTCTGTCTCTCACTCCCGTTATTCGCGTTTGTTGATTTGTTCTTCTCTGAAATCAAACGGTTTTCGTTGTTGTTTTGATTTTTCAACTGCTAGTCGTCGTTGTTCCCACATTACGATTTAATCACAGATACATTGCAATAATTTTCTGGGTTTTATTTTACGATTTAATTTTTGGTTTTGGTTTTGATAGTCATGTATTTATGATAAAATATTTTCTTAGGGTTTAGTTTGATAAGTGCATTAGTTTTACTTTTACGATTGTGTTTTAGGTTTTTTGAACGAGTGTTTATGTTGTTGATGAAAATTCTATATTTAGGTTTTTTGAACGATTATTTAAAAATTTTGAGAGTTAAATATATGATACTATTTAGGAGCTGTAGTATTATTTGTTTTATAATAGTTCAATGGTACCTTAGATAAACAAAATTTGTGTTTTGTTTTTTTGTCAAAACTACAACATGTTTTTTTGCTGAATGTTTTGTGTTTGTAACTGGTGAAGTCCAGCTTAAGGAGCTGAAGTTTTTGTGTTTGTTATTGGTGAACTTCAGCTCTAGAGCTGAAGTTTTTGTTTTATAACTGTCGAACTTCAGCTCTAGAGCTGAAGTTTTTGTTTTATAACTATCAAACTTCAGCTCTAGGGCTGAAGTTTTTGTCTTTGTAACTGTCGAACTTCAGCCTTCTTAGGTATTGAAGTTTTAACTGATCTTTTTGATAATGTCCTGATGTTATTTTTTGTAACTTTTACTTTCTTTGAACANTGTGTCTTTCTCGAATATTCACCAATGATCGAGACTCCATTAGTTTCAAGATTTTTGGTCATGATGTTTCCTTCACCCTTGAAGACTTTCACATTATGTGTGGTTTGCGAATCACAACACATAATGTTGAAAACCCAATTAATCGAGAGAGCAATATTCTGAAGCGGTATTTTAGTAAGTCCAAGGGTGTGACTTTGAAGGATATTCGAAGTTTTATGACTCGCAATGAAATTCCAA